AAGACAGCTATCATATTTCCTGTGGGTCCTTCTTCATGCTAGATATTTGCACCAAATAGCACCAAAATTTGCCACTTTTATAAGTATCTCACTAACCCTATTATACCATTAGCCCCCTAATTATCTGTTCTAATGTAATTTTGTCAGTCCCCATTCTTCTTGAACTTTAACCAGCATCTGATACTATTGACCACAGCTTCCTTCATGGTAATCTCTCCATTTTTGGTTTAGAGTCATAGATGCTTATAGTTAGAAGGGAGCTCAGTAGTCTTGTTATCCTATTATTATTATTAATAATAATAATTATTAATACATTATTAATAAAATACCTCTATAAAATCCTTGACCGATAGCTAAGTGGCCTCTGTTTCAACACTTACATTGATGAAGAGCTATCTCAAAAGGCAACTCATTCCATTTTTGAGCAGCTATAATTGTTAGAAAGTTCTTTTACTGAACTCAAATCTATTTCCCCATTGTTTCTGTCCATTGGGCCTAATTCTTTTCTTTGTAGCCACACAGTATAAATTTAATCTCTTTCCCATGTGATGAGTCTTTATATTAGAAGAAAGCTATCATGCTTCCTCTAAAGTTTTCTCTTATCCATGCTAAATATCCCTAGTTCCTTCAATTGTCCTTCTGTGACAGTTGCTAGACCCATTGCCATCTTGATCAGCCTGCTCTTTGAGTGATCTATTTAGTAAAAGTCCTTAAAATATGGCAACCAGAACTGAATATTAGCAATATTCCAGAGGTTGTCTTACCTGGACAGTGGGATTATCAGCATCTTTACTCTGTACTTCTTTTAGTGAAGCCTGAAATTGTATCCTTTCTCCCTTTTTAAAAGCAAATTTCTCACACTATTATGGCTAACTAAATTTCTCAGTATTTTTGCACAAAATACTGTCAAGTTAGGCACTTCTCATTCCAACCCACTGACCTATGCAATTAGTGATACACTCTGATCATGCCACTTCTCTACTATATAACTGTCAGTAACTTCCCATTGCCTATGACATAAAATATAAATTCTTGATCCTGGCATTCAAGACCCTCTACAATATGGTTTTCACCTTCCTTATACTTTACCCATTCCCCATGTCCTAGCCAAATCAATGTACTTTTTCCATTTGGCCAATTGTGTTTTTTTCTTGTTTTCTACAGCTATTTTTTGTCTTTCCTTTTCCAAGCTATTGACTCTCTCTTGCATACCTCTTATTTCTTTTCCCAATTTTTCTTCTACCTCTCTTATTTGACTTTTAAAATCCTTCTTGAGCTCTTCCAAGAGCTTTTTGGGCTTCAGACCAGTTCACATTACCTTTTGAGGTTTTGGTTATGGGTATATTGACAATGTTGTCCTCTTCTGAATTTCTACCTTGATCTTCCCTCTCCCCATAATAACAATCTATGGTCATTGCTCATGGTGTTTGCTTATTTCCTGACCTTTAAAAAAAACTGAGCTCTCCTGCTGGGGAGCAGGAGCCACTGACCCAAGCTTCTTGTGCTGGGAGCCTGGTCACTGGCTTTGTGTGTTGGAGCCTCAGGTACTGGCAGTTGGAGGCTGTAGGGTTCTGGCAGCTTACCTGGTGTTGGGCTGGAATTAGCAACATTGGAGCTCTAGGGGTAGGTGTGGGAAGTCTGGCCCCTGGAGGATGCCTGCTAACGCAGGCCTTGTGCTCCTTTCTTTGGCTCCTGCTCACCCAGGCCTTGCATAGGCATATTTTACTGCTGCAGGATGTCTCTCAGCCTGGAGCTTTACCTCTTGGAGTTGTGCTTCCCAGAGTTTTGATGAGGCATTGAGAGACTTAGCTGTTGGAAAACATCATGGAATGTGGTGGTTTTCTGAGCTGTTTTCCACTGGTTTACCTGCCCATACTGAGGCACTTGGGGATCCTGGTATTAGTGCTTGCCTTCCACTACCCTGGGGTTTGGGAATCTCCCTCCGGTATGCTGAGGTGGGGCTTTCCACTAGCTTGCTGGGATGCCTCACATTCTATATTGCTCCCCCTCCTACAGAGCGAGAGGGGCCTTTCCCATTAATCCCCCACGCTTACTGGGCTGCACCCCATCTTTCTACTGGTTCAGCTGTTCCAGGGTTTTTCCTGGGATGATATCTTCTGAGCTTTCAGAGGCCAATAAGGGAGGGTATGAGCAACTTACTTCTTATTCTACCATCTTAGCCCCCAGAAGTGGAATTGTCCACCAAATTCAATTATTATCTATTTTCTGTTCTCCTGCCTTCTACCTTTGTGCATGTTGTCCACCATGCTTCCTTCCTCCTTCCCCACCATCTCCTGTTTAGGTCACTTCTTTCCTTCTTCAAGATCTAACTCGGTGTCACCTCCTCTGTGATGCCTTCACTGATACCCCCCACCATCAGCCAAGGTATAACTGATTTCTTCAGATTCAATTTTCTCATTAGAAGACACTGTGCAAATAGATACATTGTGTATATAGAAGGCATATTGTTCTACCATTAGATTATAAAATCTTTGAGGTTGGTGCTGTGCCATATTCATCTTTCTTTCTTCAAACCTTATTATAGTTTTTCACACATAGCCAGTTCAATAAATGTTTTAATGAATGCTCTTTCTGTCTACAAATAGCTTGTATTTCATTATGTGTGCATTTGTACCTCTCCAGTAAAACCCCTGAAGGGACTCATTTTTGTCTCTTTATCCCTTGTGCCTAGAACAAAGTTTTATGCATAGTAGGTGCTCAATAAAAGTTTGTCAAATTGAAGTGATTGCATGAGTGAATTTTTTTCTCAATCTAGATATGGGATATTAGATTTATGCCAGTTGTACATCTTCTTGTCAATATTTGTATATTATTCCCCCATGTTGATATATTTTGAATCTTTATTCATCACCCATCATCTAACATATTAGCCATTCACCCCAGCTTTGTGTCATTTGTGAATTTTATATTCATTCTTTAATGCAGATCATTGATACATATGCTGTATAGTATAGATCCAAGGAGATATTAAGAAAATTCCTATTAACTTCAATTCTTCTGGCCTAGACAAATCACAATACAAGCTGCTGAAAAAAATCCCAAACAAACTTGTAGGTATGATTATAGAGCTACTCTCAGTAATTCTGAAGTACTGGAGAATGAGATAGGACACTAGAAATTATCAAATGTCCTGATTTTCAATTAGGGAAAAAAGATAGATAATAGACACAAGAAATTGGTAGTTTTCATATTGGTCCCTTGAAAAATTCCAGTCAAATAGGTGACCTGTGAGAACTCATAAGAAAGTGTTGGTCCTTAGAAACATGCATGAGTTCACTAAGAGCAAGTCATTTCAAACAATTTTTTTTTTTGGGGTATCACAGAGTTGTTATACTGGTAGATCAGTATAATGCTATTGCCATGGCATATTTTAATTTGAAAAGACATTTGTCAGTCTTTCATGATGCCCCTGTGGACTTTTGTATTATCTCAAAAATATATTATTTCATCAGTGTGGTTACTCTCTTCATCAATGTTAGACTGCAACACCTTAGCACATAGTTTAATAAGTAGCTATGGCAAGAAACCACATCATTTGGTGGCCAGCAAACTTTTATGCAGAAAGCACTCAAAATTTATATCTCTAGTACTGTACTCTTATCCTGTTAAGGACCAGGGAAAATTCTCAACTCTCTACATCCTTCTGCCATGGGGAAACTAGAGCCTTGGGAATGTATCTCATTAACCTGGTGAACATTCAGCTACTTAATCCTCTAGCTTTTGATATTCCATTAGAATTTCAGACAACTCACCCAATACCCCCAAACCTATCATGCAGAGTTGAAAAATCTAGTCCAATAAGTATTTATGAAATACCTACCAAGCATAAGGTACAGTGACGGATAAGCACAAGCAACACGAAGACAGCTTTAAGGAACCCATCTCTATTTGTCTGGAGTATGTCCTGTTGTCCTCCAATTTGGAGTTGGAGAAGGTCTTCCTTCAAACCAATCCTTCTATTTATAGGGTAGAATTGTGGTTGACAGTTTTTCAAGGGATAGCACTTGACAGCAGAACTCTAGAGGTGCCACTTGAACATCTGGGCACCCGTTGTGTTGATTTGGGGTCTGTTCCTGCCTCATACTCGATCAGTCTTGGAATTCTTGATACTGACTCTGGCATCTTCCCACAATCACTCTGTCAGCCCTGCAACCTGTCTTCCTCAGTTTCCATTGCACTTGAATCGTTGGTATGAAACTTTACTCAATTCATCACTGCTATCCTCTTCCTAGTTTCTCCTTTAGCCTTCTGTGTCTGACTCCTTGATACAGAAATCACTTTGGCACTTGGCTACAACCACCAGCATCCTCTGTGGGTTAAATATACTAGTTACTTGCCGCCCTTAGAAATAGAAGTACTCATGTTTTTCCCAGACTTTTGGCAAAACCCACTTCTCTTAGTCCATGTGGTTTAGCTACACTACCTTCTCAATGGTACAAACACTGTTTCTATCCCCTATATCTGTCAAAATTCTACATATTTTTCAAGGCCTATGTCAAATCTCACCTTCTTCATGGAGTCCTCCCTCACCAAATCAACTCCCTTAGCTCCTAATGCACTTGGGGTCTGAACTACACCATTTAGCTTTTTATTAAATGCTGTCTCGTGCTGTTCCATGGGCTATTTCATTTCTATCCAATTAAGCTGCTTGAGAATAGGATCTTTGTGGTAGTACTTAGCAGGGTGGTATTTAATAGGTACTTAATGAATAATTCTTGGATTGAATTAAAATGATTTGATTTAAATTGAGAAGGAAACAAAATAGTGTTTTAAGAATCAGTAGACCTGAATTCTAATGTGTGTGGCTCAATCAACATGTCTGGGCCTCACTTTCCTCATTTGTGATATTAAGGGTTTTGGCTTAGATGATCTTCAAGATCCCTTAGAGCTCTAAAATTCTATAAGTTTGTGACTGTGATGTTTTGTTTTGAAACAACTATCAGACTTATCTTACTCTCTCTTGTAATTTCTTTCCACAGAAGCAGTTGTAAAGGGGAAGCATGGAACTCAGAAGGGGAAAGACCTTCATCAAATCCAGTTTACAGATTTCCAATGAGAAACCAATAGTGGCAGAGGCTGCCTTCCAGAGTAAGGAAGCTGGGGCATTCAGGTCAAGGATAGCAGCAACTGATGGAGGGCCCTTGGAAGAGGAGAGTCAGAAAGCAGGTTTGGCCTCCCATAAACACTACAGGTTCTCTAACAAGGTGACCCATTTGATACCTGATGAAGACATTGGGGCTTCTTGTGGGTCTTCCTACAAACTGGTGCGGAAGAGCAAGACTCATGACTGTGTGATGGGAGCAGACAAGCCTGTAGGGAGGCTGGTCAATAGTATTAGCTTTTCTGGTCTGGGAAGTCATCCAGGAGCCCATGGTAGGAAAGCACCAGCAGGCAGCCCTAGCCCATCCAGTTGCAGCGGTCAGCAAATGATTGATTACCGTCACTTTGTACCCCAAATGCCCTTTGTGCCAGCTGTGGCCAAGAGCATCCCCAGGAAGAGGATTTCTCTGAAGAGATCCAAGAAGGGGTTCCGGGATATATTCCACATTAGGAAGAACAAGTCAGAGAGTCTGGCTATGCTGATGGGGAAAGGCAAAAACTTGCCATCTCCAGGAGGTGAGGGGGAAATACCTGGACGGCTAGGCAAGGCCTTCTTCAAACCTGGGGAGACATTGGCTGCTGATAGTTTGGCTCAGGACTTGTCTGACAGTGAGATTCAGTCAGATTCCTCCTATGACTACTGTGGGGCCTTGTGTGAAGATGTGGCTTCCCTTAAAAGCTTTGACTCTCTTACTGGCTGTGGGGAGATTTTTGCTGATGAGGTATCAGCCTCACTGGAGCTGGAGGGCAGCCAGGAGATTTTGACCCGGAGGCCAAGAGCCAGAGAGAACACATCTGCCATGGGCTCTTTCCAGGGTGGGGTAGAACAGCTGGCCTCACCAGCTCAGAATGAGGCTACTGACTTTGCCAAGTTCTGGGACAACATCAATTGGTCAGTGAGGCGACACCAAAGTGCATTGTTTGATCGAAAGCTAGAGGGCTCCAAGGGTAGTGATGCTGGGAGGCCCAAATATGAGCCGGCCATGCTGCCTGATCTTCCACTGTCTCCTGGTGGTGACCCTGACAGCTCCAAAGACAGCTCCATAGACACCGGGACTCCAAAGAGTGAGCATCAGGAATCCACCTCCACCAGTGATGAAGGCTATTATGATTCCTTTTCCCCAGGCCTTGAGGATGATGGAAAGGAGGCCCAAAGTCCAGGAGCACCCAGTGGCCGGTTCCCTCGGGATAGCTATAGTGGTGATGCCCTTTATGAGCTCTTCTATGACCCCAGTGAGGCCAAGATCAGCCCCATCCTGGACGATGAGCTGTGTGTGTCAGAGAGCCTTTCTGAGCAGGCGGTCGAAATTCCCCTGTCCATTTACAGTTTCCACGTAGGGGCTGAGGAGAACCTGGCTCCTCAGCCAGCCCTGGACATCATCAGCCAAAGCTTCCTGCACAGCACTTGGAAAGGAAAGGAGTGCCTCTTGAAGCTGTGTGACACAGAGCTCTCCCTCACTATGGGCATCATTAACTGGCTCCGCAGGAACCCAGAGCTCGTTTCTCCCTCAGATCGGGTCCAGACCTTGCCGTCACCAATAAAGGCAAGTGGGGACCTTCCTGCCTGTTTGGGCCTCCCATTGGGCCAAGAGGCAGAAGGAGCAACTCTTCCTATGGGATCGCGGAATGAGGGCTCAAGTGAGAGGGAAACTGACAACCCAGAACCACTGTCTCTCTCAGAGCAAGTGACTGACAAGAGACGTTTTAACCATGGGACAGTGGAAAAACATAGAGAAGTACCTCAAAGGGAAGATTTTTCCCCCGGCACCCCCGATGAGGGGTATAGATGTGCCTCAGATGTGTATAGGTCCTGGTTGGCTACTATGCCTCATCCATCAGCTGGTGGATGGCAGATGTACTTGCCTGAGAAGGATCTGGGTTCCAGTGAGAGCAGGACTCTAGGTGAAGCCCCTCTGGCCACTGGAGGTCCATCAAAAGAGCTTCTGCATCACCCCTCACAGGTATCCACAGAAAAAGGAAAAGGTCGATCTTCATCAGAAGCTTCCTCTCAGCCAGTAGAGGCAGAAGAAGTCACTCTGGCAGATACCTTGGATGAACACAAAGCCCAGAGTTCCTCTTCTTACCCCAGTGCCCACGAAAAGCCAAGTCCATCCTTGAGCCTAAAATGCTTCCGAAGCCAGGCCAGCCCTGGCCTTAAGAGGGGTGAACCTGACATAATGCCAGTCCTGGAAAGCTGCATGACACAGGTGGCATCTCTGAAGATAAGCTATGAAAACAAACCCCTGGCTGAGTGGTGCCTCAGGAAGGAAGAAGGTAGCACTCTGTGTAAGAGACAGAAGGTAGGGAGCCACTGTGTCTTGCTACAGAATGAATGCAATTGTATCCCTGCCAGCTCTGGATATCCCCTTCTCTCTCCAACTGGGAAGCTTCAAGAAGTGCCCATGAGCCCAAACCAGGGACTAAGTCCCTGGCAGAATCAGAAAAGCCAAGCAAGTTTTTTAAACCACATGAGGCAAGTCTCATCAAATAAGATCAACTTTGAATATGCTCAGCTGAATGGTCAAGCGCTTTCCTACATCCAGGACCTTCACCTCCAGTTCAGTCCTGGAGACCCCTCTGTGGCCACACAGGAGGACCACCAAAAATTGATACCTCTCTTTGCCCCTAGTGACTCAGTAAGGCCGGGAGCCTTACCTCAGGCCTCATGTGCAGGTAGCAGCTCCCCGCAAAGCTTGTGCCCCTGTTCAGACAAAAATATTTCTGGTCCTACCTCTGGGAGCCCTCTGGAATGTCATCACAACCTTCTGGCCCACGTGGGGCCTCTCCCCTGTCATGCTGAGGTGATGGCTGCAAGCTCTTCCATGGCTGAGACCAACCTATAAGAGCCTCTCTAATGAAAGGAGGTGAGTTTTGGTAACTAAGTTAAGCAAGCAACCTTTTGTGCCTTGTCTTTGAAGGCAGGGCTAGGCAGAAGATGTGGCTGTTATTGCCTTGGGATGAGTGCAACAGTTGGGGAGTTTGCTGGGAATTTTTAAATGCATGTACTTTCTCACATGAAGGCATTTTACAATGAGTTGAGAAGGAAACAAGTATTTTAAAAAGTACTTAGTATATGCTAGGCATAGTGTTTGCAAATATTATCTTCTTTGATCCTCACAACAACCTGTGAGATAGGTGCTGTTATCACCCCCACTTTACAGATGAGGAAACTGAGGCAAATAGAGGTTAGACAATTTACCCATTTGAGGGTGGGGAATATATTGAGTCATTATATGTGGTATGAGCCTTTGGTGGTAATTTTTGGGCGCTAGCTGTCATGTCTATCTTTTCTCAGTTGCTATCTTGCATCCCTGTGCAGTCGCCAGCAATCATGCAGTGGCCCCCCCAAAACCAGACCCTACGTAATTGCCTCAGCTCACCATATATTAGTATTGTACATGTCTCTCCCTGACTGGCAGTATTCAGGGCAGCATGTGAGCATTGGGTGAGAGGGGTGGCATAAAAAGGACATGAGCAGAGCACAGAAAAGAGAGCCTGGGACTATTTAGAGACAAATTTCATCAACTTTCCAAAGTCCTGGCCCTGCTTCAACATGTGAATTTGCAGAACAAATTCAGTTCAGATGATGTCATTGTAGACTACTGTTTGAAGGAAGCCAAATATAGAAACAAAGAAATGAGGGGGTAGTGATTATTTGCATTTTAGCAGTTGGCTTCATTATGTCAAAGCAGGACTCCTTTAAACAGAACCCTCTTTAAAACATTTTAAAACTTGCCTTTGAAGCAATATTCAGCTGACATGAAATTAGAATGCAGGTCAGCCCCACTCTGGGCAATAGGCACACATGTTTTGCCTAAAGCGAGATTTGACTGCATCCACTTAGGCTCCTCTGCAGTTGTCTGGAGCTGCCACCCTCAGTCTACCAGCCCCAGCAGAGTGATGTGCTGTAAGAGGACATTGTTTGCCCTCAGACACTTCCTACTGATTGGCCTCAACTCACAGCTAACTCCCTGAATCCTGCAGGGTCCTTGGCATGATGGGGAACAGCTGCTTGAATGCTGGTGGCAGGTCAGAGGGCATCCAAGTGAATCCATCTGAGGCCTGGGGGAAAGAGATGGAAACAGGGAGGGGCAGTGTGTACCCAGGACAACAGCTAAGGGAAATGGAGAACCAGCCAGTATGTGAGTCAAGAAGAGTTCTGTAGCCAGTGGCTCCTTTATCCTTACTCTGCATTGGTAGGAATGCTATTTAAATAGCTCCTAGACATCAGGGACCTATTCCAGGTAAGAAGATCTGGTATTAGTGCAGTTAGGTTAAAGGGCCCTAATGTAAATGTTTGCACTTAAGATCATTAGATCATAGGGTTTAGCTTGAAGGGCTCATTAAGATCATCCAATCCAATCTTCACGTTTTATAGATAAGAAAATTAAGAGAGGAAAAGTGACTTGCAAGAGCTGGGATTCAACCCAAGACACGGTGTCATAGTACATAGCACACAGCTAATTAGTTGTTAGATAAATATATATTGAAGAGAATTGAATCTGAGAGTCTCTTAAGACTCTCACATTGGTCAATGATGTACCAGAGAGGTTGGCTGTAGTCTAACTAAATGGTAATGGCTCTGCCAGGTGGAATCTCTGTGTCTACAGGTTCTGAGCTACATTCTATACTTCATTGTGTCTCAATGTCAAGATTCTTTGGTTTTACAATGAAAAGTATGGTCAGCAGCAGATCTGGCCCTGTACATAGAAAGGAGAAGTGGTTGCCCACCTGGTGTGATTTGAGGGACACCCAAAGGCCTCCCAATGTCACGCAGGGTCAGCTGTTAGCAAAACTGTCATATGATAGAACCATAGACATAGAAGGGAAGAGGGCTTGACTTCGACTCTGAATCCTGACTCTGACACTTGCTCGATGTGTCAACAAATCAAGTCAACAAAAATCGATCCCTGTCCTTGTCTCCCCCCCCACTTTCCTTGCTGTATTTTAGCTACTTCCTTTTCCTGAACTTGGGAATTGTTGTTTGGTTGCTGCAGTCCCATCCGACTCTTTGTGACCCTATTTGGGGTTTTCTTGGCAAAGATACTGGAGTGGTTTGTCATTTTCTTCTCCAGCTCATTTTACAGATGAGGAAACTGAGGCAAACAGGGTTAAGGGAGTTGGCCAGGGTCACAGAACTTAAGTGTCTGAGGTCATATTTGAACTTAGGTCTTCTTGTGTTCTATCCATTCACCATCTACCTGCCCTGAACTTGGGAGGAGTAACAGTAAATCTCTAGGATCTTAGTGTGAATGAGTTGATGGGGCTGATTTCCTAAGTATATGGAGGAGGCCAGGGAGGCTTTGCCTGAGGCCACTTAGCTCTTCTATACTCCAGCCACCAGTACTCAAGCACATGCCCTGGGTCCTGCAGGATTCACTGCACCAGTAGCACATGACCTTGGTCCAGAAGACTTGGAATTTGAGGTTAACAATACAGAGTCAGCTCAAAAAGTTAGCAGAGCTTGTTTCATTTTTTACTTCCTATGCCCAGTGTCTAGAAGTATGCCTTGCACACAAGGAAGCACTTGTTTGTTAAATTCAATTGAATCTAGTTCCTTCTTCCTGCCTATTGCTTTAAACTAGTCCTATAGCCTCTGTTGAGACCCTTCCAGCAACAGTGCTCACTGCTTCATGAAGAAGCCCCTTCTATTTTTGGACAGTTTTACTTGTTCTACAGTTTATTCCCATTGATCTGAAATCTGCCTCCCTTGAACTTCTACTCTTTGGACTTGGTTATGCCCTCTGGAGCCATATAACACATTTTACCATATAATCATCACACCCAAAATTGGGTTATAACCTTTCATCACGTAATCATTGTGTGGTCTAATTTTTTTCATCATCCACTTAAAAGGTAAACAGAGCAGCAATGTATTCATCAGTGGCATATGGATATGCATTTATCTCTTGCACACTGTGAGCTGAGAGCCTAGATTTCTCAATGCACATGCATTGTCAGTGTATTTCCAAAAGCCAACTTGCATGGTTTATTTAGAGCGCTGGAACGCCAGTGGTATTGTCACTCAACCCAATGAAGAGCTGTAGATGAAAGAGAGCAGGGTTATCTTTATAACAGGCGATGTAGTTAGGTACAGGAAGGAACTATTCAAAATTCTCTCCAACTAACCCATCACTGGGCCATTAGAAATTCATTACTTTGGACCAAGAACTGGTCATTTAGGTTGTGATATAATGGAAAGAGTGTTAGACTTTGAATCAGGAAACCTATCTGCTAATACCAGTTTTTCAGTAAACTAGTATGAGGCACTAAGTCTTTTAATCTCTCTTGGCCTAAGTCTTGACTGTGAAATGAGATTGTTGGATCACATGATCTTTCAGGTTTCTGCTAGCTTTGCTGCTCTATCTAGGATTTTTTTTAAAAGAGGTAGTATATTAAGTTCCTAACAGCTTGTTGTTGTTTGTCCTTCATTCTCTAAGAGGACCAATGACATCAGGAGGGTGATGTCTTGACTTGTAAGTGAATTGGATTTTAAGTGAGGCAGGGCTGTGCAAAGTCATTGACCTCACTCTCTCCTCCGAGATCATCTCAGTCTAGTGGCAAGACATGGTCAGGATGACTGGAGATGACCCCAGATGCAGTGGGAGACTTTGGCTTTTTTAAGCTAAGGTCTTTCCCAGGTTTCAGCTTATCTGAGACAACACCCATTCAGTAATTTAAGGCTAGGTAAGAAATGAGGCAAAAGATGACTTAGTTTGTCTACTCAAAGAAAAAAAATCTAGCTGGGAGAGGAAGACCCTCAGGGTTTCTGGCCAGAACAGAAACAATTGCTATTTACAATCACTCTCAGCCATCAAAACCCAATGACCTAGGGAGGCTTGAGCTGGGACATATTATTGATCAATCAGTGAGAGCCCCAGTGATTTGGGTTCAAGGCATGGTTAAGTAGCTCCATTTGAATCCTAATGGGCTTTATCAAAACCTCTGTTTCAAAAGCTCTATTTCAAAAAACCATAAATGAAATCACATGGGACAAAAGAATTAATTGTCCCAGTTTAAAAAAATGATAGAATAAATAGGGAAGAAAAAATCTAGCTCCCAAACCCCAAAATATCTTGTGAGGTTTCTGTGATCAAAATTTATATTCCTTTGGGCAGAGCACTCACATGTAAGGGTTCAAATGTGGCCTCAAACATTTACTAGCTGTGTGACCCTGGGCAAGTCACTTCACCCTGTTTGCCTCAGTTCCTCATCTATTTGCCCCAATAAAATGAGCTGGAGAAGGAAATAGCAAACTACTTCAGTATTTCTACCAAGAAAACCCCAAATGGGGTTGCAAAGAGTTGGCACAAGTAAACAACAAGTCCCTAACAACACAGTGTAAATGAATATATGAGTGGCTCCTTAGCTGATGGGAAGGATGGAGTGAGGCAATAGGAAGGCTCTGCAGCCATCGGCAGGAAAGCCACCGGGCAGCAGAAGGCAAGGAAGACCTGAAAGGGGGCTGAAAAATTAGAAGTTGGAAACACCGAAGCTAAAAGTGTCCATTTTACACTTTGCACCAGGGCTGGCCCTGATTTCATCCTTTGAGTTTAAGAAGCCACGGGTAGATTTCCTGTGAAGAACAGCTTTATGTGGGAAAGAGGGGGCTTGGAAGGGACAGATTGTACTGCCTCTGCTCATAGAGGCTAATGTCAGACAGCATCCTCCCAGATGCAAGATCTGGATGCTAAATTAAACAATTTTCTTCTTCATTTAACACAGTTCCTGAGGACTCAGGATGATGTTTCCCTATTTCTGCTTCTCCTTGCCCATACAAATCACCGTCAATGAAGGAAAGATACAGAAAGAGATGCCCCCTTTCTGACAAGGGTCCCTACAATGAATGGTCTTTCTGTAGAGA